CACACACACACACACACACACACACACACACACACACACACACACACACACACACACACACACACACACACACACACACACACACAGAGACAAGAATCAGGGTCCCCTCAGTGAAGCAGGCGTTTCCTTTGATCCGGCTGCATGTGTGACTTCACCCCGCGTCCTCCAGTCAATTTTGATCATTTTAACTAATGAATCAAAGCCAGTGGAACACATTGTCTCACTGCTTCCTATGTTATCCAAAGTGTCAGGAGAAGCGGTGAGTTGTGGGACTGGATCTGCCCCTGCTTTCTCATGATAAGGGAGGCAGGGCAGTGCTTCTGGTCTGCAAACAGCTGAACACTTTGCAGAAGAGTGAGAACTGACGATACAGCAGTGGGAGAGAGAGAGGGAGAGAGAGCCTGAGGAACAACGGTGCAGCCAAGGAGACCACAGAAACACTCTTCCCCCAAATCCCCGACTCTGTGGAGAGAGAGGGGAGAAAGACGCGGTGCACACACACAAAGACATTCTTGGCTTTCAGTTTAAAAGAAGAAGAAGAAAATTACAATACGCGGGGCGCGATCATTTGTTCTGAGTTACAAATTCAAGAAGAAAGGCGTGACAGCCGGCTGCAGGACTCAGTTTTACCATTAGCGCAACATCTCCCGATACAAAGTGAGGGATTGTAGCACAGCGCTGCATGAAGGATAAATCCATCCGGGAGAAGAGAGCATCAGAGACAGGATGAGAGCGACTCTGCGGATCAAGTGGCTGATAGTTTTACTCGGTGAGTAGCCCACGCGTTCACATCAGACAGCTCCACTGGTTTGTTTGTTCAGCCTTTCTGTCAGAATTCGGGCTTTTCTATCGTTTATGTCTCTTTATCTCTTCATTGTGCATGAAAGAGTGCTGCAGCAACAGGTGCTGGATCCCGGTGGTCTGTGTGACACGTTTTTTTAAACTTTTGCTGTCTGTTTGTTCAACCTCCCAAGACCCAAACTCTTTCACGGCATGCATTTTTAATTTCTCTTTGCTACCTGGGCTGATTGGGAACTGACGAATGTAAAAACAAAGAATGATCTTTTTATCTGATTTTGCTCTACAAAGGCCTGATATCAGCGTAGTAGGACATTCATTTGAAATTTCAATAGCACAGGGGCAGTATAACGTCCTCGCAAGTGGATATCAGCCCTTGTACATATGTGGACGCCAGGTCCTAGGAGGTTAAGTGCAGTGATGAACCAGTGAGTTTTTAAAGCGTTTAAAACTCCTTTTAATTCTAACAGTCTGGTAAAATTAATAAAGCCATGCTTAAGTTATAGGAAACATAAATTGTAGATGATAACCAAACACAGAAGTCAACTGTAAAGTCGTCTGCATGTGCATAACGTGCTGGACTCTTTTACTGTAAATAAATACATCACGCCTTAACAGTGATGGAGCACACGAAGTACACAGTGCATTACAACTACGAGCTTAAGATGTGAAATCAGTGGAATAGACTTATTAGCATCAAAGCAGAAACACTAAAACCTAAAGGAATACTGGCTGTTTCATTAGCTTTGCATTCTGTTAGTTAAACCTGGCTGTTTTCTGGGGATTTGAGGTCAGGTCTTAATTACTGACTGCAATCGTCTGTAGGTGGAAGTGTGCAGCATCTCCTCACAAAAGTCTTGTGTAACCTTTAAAATAGAAAACAGCGTTGTCACTTGTAAAATCTAACATTTTATTTACTCATGTTGGCACTGCAGAGTTGTTTCTTTCCCCTCGTCGTGTAAATTCATCCCAAAAAACATGTTCATGTGTGTGTGTGTGTGTGTGTGTGTGTGTGTGTGTGTGTGTGTGTGTGTGCATGTGCGTGCGTGCGTGCGTACTGTAGCTACATAAATGCCAGTTCATTTCTAATCTTTCTTCTCATCCCCTCTGATATATTACGTCAGACAACAAACTGTAGCTCATATGTAGGATGCAGGTTATGGTTAGTAATGCTGCATCACACAAACACTGCAACGCTCTAATGTAGAAACTAGAAAAGTGTAAATGGTACATGAGCTCAGGATCAATGAACCGAACAGTGACAGATGAAGGAGTGAGTTTGGACTGACGAACACTTTAAGCCTTTTTTATAGATGCTTTTATTTCAAACTCAGATTCTGTCTCAGCATTAATAATAAGAGCTCTTTTCTTCTTTGCTCCATTTTTCCACCGTTTTTGTCTGAAACTTGCAGTAAAACAGTCACAAACACAGACCAAGTGGCGCACTCGGGCTCAGACCTGAAACATCTGCCCTCCACCCCCCACAGTCGAGGACTCACCACTGCTTCGCCCTCCCTCCAAAAACACACAAAGTCCACTCAGAGCTTTGCAGAGAGACAGAAGGAGCCTGAATAATGAAGTGCAACCCCTGACCCCCCTCCAGGGCTGAAAGACCACAAAAGTGTTTTTCTTTAATTACGCACCTGCTGCTTTCTCACCACTGCAGTAGGTGATTTCAGACGGGAGGCTTTTATTTATTTATTTCTTGTAAGCGTGTGAAAAAGAGTAAGCGACACAGCCCCAAAATTCCACCCGAAGGCTGTCAGCACCTTTTTTTCTAAAGATAAACGCTGGCATGTTTTTGTGCTTGTGAACAGCCACCTGTTTCTATTTGTTTAACACTATGTGCATGTAAGTAAATGCTCCACACATGTGCAAGACCTACTGCTTTTGTCTCTGCTCTATGAGATCACTCTAAAGTGAGCGCTCCTGATGTCTTATTGTTTTTATACATATATGAGATTTCAGTGGTGCTGTGGTTTGCACAGTCCGCTGTAAAACTCAAGCTTGCAGAGCAGCCTGCTGTGGCCACACGTTGCAGGATGGGAGCGTCTCCATGAATATGAATCACTGGCCTTTAAGTGCAGGTCTGGATTCACAGACTGTATTACAGCACACAAAGCTTTGCCACTGACAAACACCAAGCATATTATATTTAAAAAGACCTGAATTAACAATGAAATGAATCAAAACTAAACAAACTCTTTGAACACTAAGTGAAACTAAACTCCAGAATATGAAATACAATGAAAACTCGGCCCAGTGATGTGAAAAAGAAACGTTTTCACAGGAGTCACTAAATGGAATCTAAGAACTTGAAGTAATCAGGGTTTTCTTTACAATATTCCTTCATTTCATGGAGCTTTGTGCGTAGTGATTAATGCACAGCTCTCTTGGGGTCCCGCTGCAGCAGGTGGAGGTCTGGACTTTGACTGGGGCGTTGCACCACCTTGATTCTTTTCTTTGTCAGTTGCAGATTTGAATTTAATGCTGGTGAATCATTGTCCTGTTTGTGCCGAGTGTTCGCTGTCCTACGGGACTGATAATAGACAGAGTGGAGTCTGCAGGGTGCCCGGGTCCTGTGGCTGCAAAACAAACATCAGCTCTCCACCACCGAGCTTCACAGCTGGTACACTGTAAAAACTGTGACTAGAGGTTACTTAAAAAACCTATGGCAACAAAGTGACACTTAATTTACTTAAGTAGATTTTAATTTCAAGTGATTTATGTAAAATTTGGATAAAATGTTAATTAAATTTCAACAAAAAACAAAAATAGATATTATTAACATTCTCTTGTAAATATGTGTTGAATTTAGGGACAAAATCTCAAATTGAAGGTTAAAATTGCCTAATTGTAACAAAAAATTAGTTCATTTGAAATGAATCGCTGAGAAAAATTACTTTGAATTTACTAACGATCTGGCAAAGGTTTAGTAAAAAATGACTAAAATATCCATTACAAAGAAATGAAAACTTTTTGTTTTTAATTAAAACTCAAATTGGATTCACTAATTTTCCAATTAAACCTTACAATTAATGACTGAATAGTAAGAGAAAATCAAATTAATTTAACTTCTTTTCTGAGTAAAATGAATCAATTTCACAAAGACAACATTCAAACAGTAATAGTTTTTATTGTGGAATATAAAACATATACAAAATGTATAATATGACATTTTTCTGATTAATTTAGATTGTATGCACTGAAATTCTTCACTAGTGCTTGCCCCAAAATAATAGGAAGAATAGGCCATAATTGAAAATACAGTTTCAGCCACCTTCTCGAGAATGTCTTTACTTTGGAGGTGGGCAGAAGATTTCCACTCTTTTTATACTCCTCTGTGGCTCTTTCCAGTTACATTTCAGTTTCATGTGCAGACTGTGGAATGGGGAACAGCTTCGGCCAGGGCTCACAACGTTCTGTGAACTTCTGCCTTTTGAGAATAATGGTGTCCTGAGAAGATGTGGTTGCAGCAGAGTCTGCATTGGATACAACTGGATTGGATGATGAGTCATAGTCAGCTGACAGTTGATCAGAGGGGCTGCCGAAAACTGGCAGGATGACCAGGGTGATGCCAACAACCTTCACAGTGTCTTTGTCTTTTATCTGCTCCCTTCTGCGAATAGTGAAGTAGTCCTGAAATTTTGGTTTAAAATACTGAAGACTGAAGTTGTTTGAAATCCCAAAGGTATCCTTCACAACACTTTGCAGCTCCTCTACTGTTGGTGGGATTACTGGTGGAAGAACCAACTTCTCCATTTGGTCATCAGTGATTACATGGAGCTCTGTCTCGATCAACCTAGAATAAAATATAAATGGGCAGAGTTACGTTAGATTAAGTAGGGTCAACTTAGTCATTTTCTGCTGCTTCAATTTCAAAACTAGTAGCTTAATTTAATACAATCATCCATCAAAACCTATTCAAAATGCATAGTCTACATACTGATCAGCTGAATTTAAGTTGAGGGATCTTCCAACAACTGAAAAGAACACAACATTAATAACAATCACACTCTCCGAAGTAAAAATTTTACACACACAAATTGTTAAAGACAAATTTGAATTAATACTAAATTTTTTAAAGGTGATGTTCACATATAAAACAATGAAACTCTTTATTAGATTAAAAAGGGGATAGACTCTATTTTCTGCACCGATTTGGTGACAGATCAGGACATGAAATAACACTATTTGTGTATTTATATACTGTATATATCTTCCCATACTTGAAAAGATGTCCTTTCAATCTACACAAGGTCATCTCTGTATCCAAACACCATTGGGTGTTAAACATAGAAATTATGAAAGACTTATGTCAGATTAAACACGCATATTATTTCCTGAAAGTACCTTTATCTTGAAGATCGTTCTACAGAAACATCGTGACTGAGCGTGCGTCTCACTGATACAGTTCAACTAGAAACTTGCATCATCCCTCTATGTGAGCTGTGCCTGCACTAAAGTCACGGGGCTGACAGCATGAAAATGAAAACCAGTTATTTTGCTGGACTGAGACAATTTAGCTTAATTACCACAATTGAAAAACTGCGTGGAGACAAAAGCTTTGAAAAACTGTGACTGACAAAATCCCGCACAAATGATTTTAACTACATCACTCACCACTGAGTGCAAAACTTTTTCATAAAATGTTAAAGGGGGTTACAGCCCATCGAAATACATCACTGATATATTTTTTTAATATGGTAAACCGTGGTTAGTCAAAGTGTAGCGCGCGGCGACACTAAAGCGGTCGCGCCAGAATGTCACGCTAAAAAGAAAGATTCTTTAAAATACAAGGGGGAGCAAGCGAGTCAGATACCACGGGCACAGAGAGGAAGCAGGTCTGATCAGAAACAGTTTATTACTAGGCCAGGGAGCACAAATAAAAACACCCTTAAAATGTATGTAATAAAATGTTTGCTCTCTACTAAAAACAATTCTAAAACCCGTAAAACTACCATTTTCTAC